AAGAAAACACCTGTATCTTTAATGAACATAGATACAAAAATTCTCAACAAAATACTTGCAAACCACATACAGACACACATCAAAAATATCATTCACCGTGATCAAGTAGGCTTTGTTTCAGAGATGGAGGGATGTTTCAATATACGCAAGTCAATAAACATCATTAATCATATAAATGGACTCAAAGACAAAAACTACATTGTAATCTCAATAGATGCAGAAAAGGCTTTTGACAAAATTCAGTATGCATTTATGTTCAAAGTGATAGAGGAGATTGGACTGGAGGGAACATACCTCAACATTATTAAAGCTATATACAACAAACCCGCAGCCAATATTATTCTAAATAGAGAAAAACTAGAAGCATTCCCATTAAAATCAGGAACCAGCCAAGGATTTACACTATCTCCACTCCTTTTCAACACAGTACTTGAAACTCTTGCTGGAGCAATAAGACAGGAGAAGGAAATTAAAGGAGTACTAATTGAAAAAGAAGAGGTCATACTATCACTTTTTGTAGATGATGTGATACTATACCTAAGAGATCCCAAAAGTTCCACCAGAAAACTACTAGAACTTATCAACACTTTTAGTATAGTGGCAGGTTATAAAATCAATCTACAAAAATCAGTAGCCTTTCTACATACCAATAATAAGCAATTGGAGAACAAATACAGGGAAATGCTCCCATTCACAATTGCTACCAAAAAATTAAAATATCTTTGAATAAATCTGATGAAAGACAACAAAGATCTCTACAATGAAAATTTTGAATCATTAAAGATTGAGATTGAGGAAGACACCAGGAGATGGAAGGACCCCCCCATGTTCATGGATTGGAAGAATTAATATTCTTAAAATAACCACTCTACCAAAAGCAATATATAGATTCAATGCAATTCCAATCAAAATCCCCATGACACACTTCACAGAATTAGAAAAATGTATCCTTAAATTCATATGGAGGCACAAAAGACCCCGGATGGCCAAAGCAACCCTGAGCACAAAGGGCAACCGTGGGGGGATTACTGTACCAGATCTAAAAGTATACTACAGAGCCACAGTCATAAAAACAGCATGGTACTGGTGCAAAAACAGACACATAGATCAATTGAACATCATTGAAGATCCAAACCTGAGTACATGCGATTTCAACCAACTGATATTTGACAAAGGAGGAAAGACAGCATCTTCAACAAATGGTGCTGGCAAAACTGGATCTCCACCTGTAGAAGAATGAAACTACATCCTTATCTTTCACCTTGCACAAAAGTCAACTCCAAATGGATGAAAGACCTCAATGTGAAACTGGAAACCCAAGAAAATATTGGCAGTAAATTACAGTATACAGGTGTAAGAAAGGATTTTCTAAATGAGACAGAAGTTGCTCAGGAATTAAGGTCAGCAATCAATAAGTGGGACCTCATTAAACTAAAAAGCTTCTGTAAAGCAAAAGAAACAATCAAAAAAGTGAAGAGAAATCCCACAGAATGGGAAAAAATCTTCATCAGTGACACATCGGACAGAGGGTTAACATACAGAATATATAAAGAATTCAAAAAACAAAGAATTGAGAAACCAAATGATGCAATTAGAAGATGGGCTAAAGATCTAAACAAAGAGTTCTCAAAGGAAGAAATAAAGATGGCTAAGAAACATCTCAAAAAGTGTTCAACATCGTTAGTAATTAGGGAAATGCAAATTAAAACCACCCTAAGGTATCACCTTATTCCAATCAAACTGGCTAGGATTAAGAGAACAAATGATACGAAATGCTGGCGAGGATGTGGGGAAAGGGGAATGCTCATTCACTGCTGGTGGGATTGCAATTTTGTGCAGCCTCTATGGAAAACAGTGTGGAGAACTCTTTAAAAAATGAACCTACCATATGACGTGGTTATACCACTCCTTGGCCTATACCCAAAGGGTTCATCCTATTGTAGAGACATTTGTACAACCATGTTTGTTGCTGCTCTTTTCACAATAGCTAAGAGATGGAAGCAACCTAAGTGCCCCTCAACTGATGAGTGGTTAACAAAAATGTGGTATATTTACACAGTGGGGTCCTATTCAGCAGTAAAGAAAGATGAAGTAGTGAAATTTGCAGGTAAATGGATGGAGCTATAAACTGTTATACTAAGTGAAGTAACACAGACTCAGAAAAACAAACAACATATGTTCTTCCTCATATGTAGCTCCTAGCACCAAATCCTTTTAAATTCCAGGTCTTTCTAATAAGAATATTCTATACAGCAGTCCCTTCTGCATGAAATAACTACCATCATCATGATTTTGGCTGAGCCTGATCACTAAACATAGTCACAATTGGGCTTGCTGACTGTTGTGCTCACTCATTAAAGGAGTGCCAAGCAGGGTTACTGGACCCTCACCTGAGTATCTAGCCACTCTTCCCAGGCAACTAGTCCAGCCTTGGAAGACAAAAGGAAAATGAGGAAGAACCCAATAGAGGGATGCTTTTGGAAGCCCTTGTCAAGAAACTCCAATGGACTTTCATATGAACATTTGAAAATTGCCCTGTTCTGACTTTTTCTAGTTCCCTGTCTAGAACTTGTAATGCTAATTGCTCTTGCCTTTACTTCTCCTTCACATCTCCTATTCATGATTCAAGGACTTTCTTCTTCCCTTAGAGACAAGAGTTATGTAATTTTGGTTTTTTATATAGACCCACTGAAGGGGTACTCCAATTGCCTCACCCTGTGTCCCTGTTCAGCATGGAAGAAGCCAGAGCAGTCTACATCCCTATTCCCTATTGGCAATTTGGGTAACCCCTTCAGAGGATGGTGTGATAAGAATAGGAGGTAGGAATTGGCTAGACAGTTAGAGTAAAAAGACCCCAAAGAAAAGTAGCCAGTGTCTTGGCTAAAAGTCAAAATGTCCTTGGGCCTGTTAGCAACATAGTGTGTTCCAAAGGCCAAAAATGTCAAAAGTATTTGGGAACTTGTACCTAATCCTTAAAATATTTTAGGGTTACCTCTTTAGAGGGTGGAATGATGGAGGGGAGGGAGGGAGTTGGCACGGATTTGATCAAAACACCTTATATACATGTATGAAATTCTCAATAAAGCTTCTGTAAAAATTTTAAAAAATCAAGGTCGTGGTTCCACCTGTGGAAACTGAGTGGAAAGAGGCCAAACTATGACTTCAGGGCTGCTGGTGTGGTACTACTGAAACATGTGGGTGAGAGATACAAAAGTGGTTCACTTTGTACTAACACCAGCAAATTGTACACTTACTATGCACATGTTTTTCTTTATGTATGTTTCTCTTCTTTTCCTTGCAGTGCTAAGAACTGGAACCAGTCTTTGAATGTACTAGGCAAGTGCTAAGCTGCATCCTCTGGCCCTAGATTCCTATTTCAAGTTGGTTACAAGTTAATGAGCAAACATGTGGTATCAAGTTAGACTAGAATGATGTAAAGTTCTCTGTTCTTCAGTTATGAATAAAATTTCTAGTGGCTAAGTGATGACAAGAGGCCTAAGGAGTCTTTAGAAAAGAGATGAGATCAGCAGTTTATTAAAAGTAATACAATTTTCATGTGTTGTTTTATTAAAAGATCTGTAAAGATGCCAAGTTTCTCAGATAATGTTTACCTTTTTCTGAAGGCTTGTACTTCTAATAAATTTTCCATTGTTTATTTTGTGTGTGTGTATAGTGTGTGTGTGTGTGTACACAAATGCGTGTTGTACACACCCCCATGTGTGCATGTGTGGAGGTCAGAGGTCAGTGTTGGGTGTCTTTCTGTACCACTCTCCACTTTATTGAGATAGGGTCTCTCAGTGAGTCTAGACTTCACCAATTTACTAGACATACTGGCCAGTGTGCCCCTGCGATCCTCCTGTCTCTACCTTCCAGTGCTGAGATTACAGGTACACCACCATTCCAGTTATTATTATTATTATTATTATTATTATTATTATTTTGGTTTTTTGAGACAAGGTCTTACTTTAACTCAAGCTCACTTGGAACTCACTATGTAGACCAGGGTGGCTTCTATCTCACAGAGTTCCTCCTACCTCTGCCTCTTGACTGCAAGTGCTGAAATTAAAGGTATGCACCACCATGCCCAACACATGTTAGCTTTTTCTGGCAAATGCTAAGCTTTGATGTGGGTGCTAGGGAGCTGCATTCAGGTCCTCATGCTTGCACAGCAAACAAGTTACCCACTGAGGTACTTTCCCAGTTCCCACTGTTAATTTTTACATAGTTGTTGAATTTAAATACTAAAACTGAGAAAATATTTAAGTTTTCTGATCTAGCCCAAACAACTGATATGACTTGAGCTAAACCCAAAACTTGGTGAGGCAAGTGAAAACATTAATTCCTGTTCAGAATGTCTTACACCTCTCCAAGTTCATTATTTTTCCAAGTAGATCACTTTACAAAACATTCCCTTTTTTCATCTGATTCAAGCATTAATCATAACAAACATTTCTACTACATTTGAACCAAAATGATACCATCATATCACTAATTCTGACAAGGATACATCTTGTCCTTCACATGTAGTTACTTACATGGTTGCATATTTCATTAATCTAATTTTATCAATTCAAACGTTATTTAAGTCTGTTGATTTTTATGCTTGGAGTCTGTTCAAAGTTGACTGCACATAACCCTTTCTGTGGTTTGGAACACATCCCCACGTAAAAACATTCACAAGGTACTGTCTTGCAGCAAGGTCCATAAGGTTCATCCAGATCCCCTGGCTTTGCAACGTTTTATGCACAAAACATTAAAATGATCATGAGGACTTTGTTCCCTATTCCTTTCACTAATAGTTAATTACTGTCTATTAAATTATAACTATCTCTAAGACTTTTTAGACAATCTGAAATACACTAAGTTATTCTGATATCAGCTACCTGTGAAAAGGAGTGAAATCAGCACTGCAATTATGATATATCCAAAGTACAAAATGGTGGTTTCAATGCTTGTGACTTGAAGTTAGACAATCTGAAATACACTAAGTTATTCTGATATCAGCTACCTGTGAAAAGGAGTGAAATCAGCACTGCAATTATGATATATCCAAAGTACAAAATGGTGGTTTCAATGCTTGTGACTTGAAGTTTGGTAAAGTAATAAATTGCATATATAAAAATATAAGCAGATGTAAAGCTGCTGGATAAAAAGGATTTCCACCACCAATCACCATCCTGTAAAAGGTAGGAAAAACTACTTTTAGGTGAATTACTTACTATATAAATGGGTTAGGAATTATTGAGATAAGAAACATAAGATGAACTCTGCATAATTTTATGCATAACATGGTGAAGTTTCATATAAAATTAATAAAATATATAACATATGTCCTGATTAAGATTTTCAAACAGTTGTAGACTCTTTGTTTCTCAGGATATTACATGTTACCTCTTAAGCATAGATATCTGTTGCTGGAATACTGCTTTAAGACTGCCTCAGCCCTGGAAAACATTCAGCTCAGCTTCCTTTACTGACAAGAGCTATGTTATATCTAGTTGAGTTTCTGCATTAACTACTACCCACTACAAAAATAAGCTACTCTGAGCAAAGCTGACAGCAACACTGGTCTAAGGCATAAACAAAATTATTTCAGAAGGTAATTCTGACAGGCACATCATATTAATTAAGAAAAAATATTATCTAGGCAAGGGTGGTGCTTGCCTTTAATCCCAGCACTTGGGAGGCAGAGGCAGGCAGATCTCTGTGAGTTAAAGGCCAGTTTGGTCACCTTGGGCTAGAGGGAGACCTTGTCTCAAAAAGACAAAAAAATAAAATAAAATTAATGTTTTCCCTACTAGGTATTATAAATGCTCCAAACTGGCTTTTGACCAAATTTCCAGTGCCGGACCTGAATTCCCTCCTCTGGAAAGGGACTCAAATCCAATCATAAAGTAGTTGGTTATCCCCACAACAGATTTGCCACTATTTCACCAGTGGGTATGTATTAGTTGGTTAGTTGGTATTGTGGCACTCTGGGTCTACAGTTGATAAAGACTATGGATGACAATTCTCCCTCAGTAGCCTACATAGTACTTTCCAGCATTATGAGAAGTAACCAATAGGGAGTACGCTTCACATCGGCTCTAGCTTGATTCATGTTTATCCAATGACCAAAGCATATAGTGTCTTCAGCAATAAGACTGAACTATCGGTTAGTTATAATGGGCAACAAACAGCACTAGCAATAGACTATACTGTTCGGCCTTAAATGGGGCATCTATATCACCCCTTCCAAGGGGAATATTTCCTCAGGGAACAATGAAGAAAATGGGGGCACAAAGAATGTAACAGCCAGAGAAAGAGGTGGAGTGTTGTGGAATGCTTTCTTCCAGGCATCTCATAGACTCTGCATTATTGAACTCTCAGAAGCTATGATTATCAGTGCAAGACCTGCGCAAGACTGGTCCTGTCACTAGTCTATCACAGAAGAGTGGGTCACAAGGCCCTATTCCACTCTGAGGATATAAATGCAGCTAATGGCTGTAGGAGAGGGAGAGACATTTTCTCCAATGGTGTAGTCACTTGTAAGGTGCCTATGCTCCTGTAAATAACCCCTCACCCATGATCCTGTAAACAGCCATAACAAAATTCAGTAGGATACTAAGAAGAAAACACATGACAATGGAAGGGGGACTGGTTGGAAAAGAAAGGGAATCAGCAGGAGTAGGGAGTGGCAAGAAAGGGTTATGGGGTAAATATAATCAAAACACATTATATATACATATGAAAAGAGTTATGCTGTGTATAGTGATGCACTAGGTCAAATACAAGAATAATTAGTACAGAAATTTAAAACAGACATTGTACTTTCACTGACTAAATTCAGTATCCATGAGGACATGGCTGGGGTCAATATGCAGGCTGACCTCGCCAGGCCCCATGGACTGTTGCTTTTTTTCCTTGCTCATTCTGTTGTGTATCTTTCTCTGTAACAAATCTGTAGTCATGTTTACACTGATGTTTGGTCCCTTGAGTCCTTCTGGTAAATTATTAAGATGTCCCAAATACGTCCTTTTTTTTCTTCTTTCTTTGTTTTTTTTTTGAAACAGAGTCTCCTTGTAGCCCCATCTTTGCTAGAACTCACTAAGTAGACCAGACTGGTCTCGAACTTACAGAGATTCCCCTGCCTCTGGCTTCCAAGTGCTGGGATTAAAGGAGTGTACCACCATGCCTGGCCATCCCAAATACTTTCTAAGAAATAAAAATATACCCATACTATATGCTTATTTCTGTAGGTTCATTAATGATTGCATAGTTCTCTATGATAAAATGTACCATAGAATTTCTAAGTATATATATATAT